CTCATATTTAACAAGTCCTCCAGGTGATTCTGATGCATGTAAAAGAAAAATATCCCAAATAATAAGATGCATACTGATAACAGAATTGAATTGAGGAGAGTTGATATGTTACCTAAGTTGAATAGAGCACACTAAACCACATATAAAGATTTCTACATTTCTTTGAAATAATCAACTAATTTTTTTTGTATATTTACAGATAAAAAATTGAGGACAAGAATTAGATATTTATGTACTGACTCAAGTCAGTCAACATTATGAAACATTATGATAATTGCTTTTTCTATGGCAATATCTTGATTTCTTCAACATGTTGAAATTCCTCAAGACTGAAAACACTCTATTTAACTTTATTATTAAACATGCATTTTGTGAGACTAACTTAACACTTTATTTTGCAAACATTTGGACAAGGGATGGCAAGCCAAACTGACTGCCTCTCTTAAATTGTAGTTGTATTTCCAGAAAGACAGATGGCAAAGACCCTAGCACTTACATATCTAATTTCTTATTTAATAGCTTATTAAATTTCAAATTTAGTAATTTATTCAACAAATTCTTCTGGAGGTAGATTTCTCCTGATGCTTTCAAAACAGATGATATCAGCTTAAAGGAAGGCAATTCTTCAGGACCACAAAAGACCCATCTCATGAATACATGTGAACTACAAGTAGGTAGTTTCTAAAATGGTATGAGGTAATAGGTTTTAAATACAGTGCTGCTGTTGATACAAAAAAGTATATATAAAAAATGGTGGTTTTATTTTGTCATAAGTCATTATATGAAGATACTTCAGTTGCTTTATAGTTCATATTTGTATGTTTGCATTTGATGTGGAAATTCAGTTTACTTGCATAAAGTTTTAATTTCACATTCATTGAAATCTTCTTACATCTACTAAGAGGAAGCTGGGAAATAAACATGGAAAAATCTCTAATAAATTCTCAATATTTAGAAATATTAGACACATGTTCAAATATACTATTGTTATACTTTACACTAAATAAACTTTTCATAATCCAGAAATAGATTTTATGAAAAGACATAACTAAGGAAATAAATAACTAAAAGTATATAGTGTATGTGTGTTTTTTCTGAACAAGATCCTTTATACTATAAAAATAAGTATGATATAATGATATAACTTTGTACTCAAACATTTGGTTTACATGAGACAATCAAAAATATTTCAAATTTATCTTAATATGTAATTCCTTTTCACTTTGCTTCTCTGAAAAGTGATTTCATTCCTAGTTATACTCTATATCTAGAGCACTGAATATAGTATTGTCATCATGCCATACATATCTTTTGTAGTTTGATAATCTTATTTGTTATTCAGATATATTTATGTATATAGCACTAAAATCTACTTTGATATTTCAGATTATCTATGGGACTTTGATATTTAAGATAAATATTGATATCTTGTACATTATCCCTTACTTCAGAGACCATTTTGATAAAAAGGAAGCTCACAAGTGTTGGTTGGCTGCTTTATCTAAAGGGACTATAACATCCTAAGCCATGGTACTTATAAGCATAACCTAGCAAAGAAAAGCATTTACAAAATCTTCCCTTCTATCTTTCCTTATAAGGTCTTCACCATCAATTATGCAATACAAGTTATTATAAATTTATAGAATATCATTAAATAAGGGGGCTATTTACCTGATAATTTTTAGACTGATAGGGGAATATAATTATAAATGATTGATGACTAAAGAGATATGAATAGTTGCTAATGAATTGCACATATGAAAGTGATGAATATCACTAAAAATACCTACACACAATATTATCAGTGCATTGAATTCTGTCCATTTTTTCCACATTAAGGTAATGATAAAGTCCCTTACATGTATGTATTGTGCAAATGCAATTTTCATGTGCTTTTCTAGACTCTATTTTCTTAGTTCATTAACATTTTGAGTTTCTCCTATGAGCCCAAGATACCTACCAAATTGGTGCCTTTATCTCTATGATATGCTTATTGGAAATTCTTATTCTCTCATTCTACTATTGCACAGTTAAATGTTCATAAATCAAGTCATAACATACCATGATAGATAAGAAAAGATTACATAATAAGGCAAGAGAATGTGGAAAGGATCTGACTAAAAGTATAAGCATTATGAATTAGATCACACTCTCCTCAACATATACAGGGGCAGGGCAAATAGAAATCATCATTAAAACAAGATACCTTACTGAATGGGAGAAAACATTTATATATCACACATCTGACAAGGGGTTAATAGCCAAAATCTTCCAAGAATTCATACAACTTAACAAGAAAACAAAGCAATCAAAAAATGGGCAGAGCAGACATTTTTTCAAAGACATACAGATGGTCAATATGCACTGAAAAAATGCTCACCAACACATATTATTAGGGGAAATGCAAATTAACCCAAGCATTCTCACACATGTAAGAATGGCTCATAGGAAAAGGTCTAGAAACAAGTGTTGGCAATGAGGTAGAGTAGAAGGAACCCACACACACTTGGGAATGTAAACTGGTCTAGTTCCTAAGGGAAACAGTATAGTGTGGAAGTTCTCAAAATATTAAAATGAGATCTACCATATGATTCAGCAAGGCCACTTCTATGGTTCTATCTGAAGAATACAAAATCTCTAATTCAGAGAGATGTATTCACTCCTAAGTTCATTGCAGCACTACTTACAATAGTTAAGGTATGCAAACAACCTAAGTGCCCAATGACAGATAAGTATGTTACAGAGCAAAGGTGCTTGTCACCTGATATGAACACTGATCAATATCATGACATCAAATTTTAAAGAAAAAGTTTATTAAGGTCAATGATCAAAGAAGCAAAAGAACAACTCAAATCTGTCTCCTTATCTAGGCAGGGGAAATGGTTTATACTAGTTTGGGGGGGTGGTATTAAGTCAATGGTGTTATATTCTAATGGCTGAGGTGTAGATTTAGGGGCAATGATATGTGGACCTGGCTGAAATTCATTGGGTAGTTTTACAGGGCAATCTATACGCTGCAGAATATGAGGAGATTTTTTCTTGAGATAACTGGAGCTTTAAATCTGTTGGTAAATTTGTCTCCTTTTGGTAGTCACTCTCCTCCATATCAGCCAGCTTGGGGCTCAGTTCAATGGGAGTCACATCTGTGTATGCTCAGGCTGGGTTATTTACTAATAAGCTTCCAGGTTCTACTGCTTATAAAAGCAAGTCTCACTGAGAAGTTTAGATATATTTTCTGTGTGTTCTAGGATCCAAGGACAATTTAATCCTTAGTTTCAAGTGGCTAAAGAAGATGTGACATATATATATATATATATATATATATATATATATATATATATATATATATATATATATATGTGTGTGTGTTGGGGGATAACACTCAGCTAATTATCAGGGATAATACTGAACTATAGAAAACATGAAATCTTGTAACAAAATATATGGAATTTGGAGGATTATACTAAGCAAAATAGAAGGAGAAAGACAAATACAGGATGATTTCACTCATATATGTTCTATAAAGGAACAAAGCTAAGAACAGACAAAATCAAATACAAACAAACACTTGAAACCTGACTACAGAATTGAGGCTAGCAAGATAGGGTAAGGGTGGGTGGGGAATACTCAGTGGACTCTGGTGGAGTATTTTTGATGCTTTGATGGTGGACATGGTGTGATAGCATACATTCAAGTGGTGTGAATCTATATCCCCTAAAATACATATTACCTCAGTCAAAATAATTTTAAAAAATAAACATGAATCTAGATGCTATATATGCTTTTTCTGATCCAAGAACTGAGCCTTGGATTTTTATCATCCCCTCCCCCCTCCATTCTCTCTACCCTATTCTGGGCAGCTCTTTGGAGAACTACATGCACACACACACACACACACACGCGTGCGTGCGCACACACATACACACACACACACAGGCCTTAGAGCTCAGTCAGTCCTATTCCTCTGGCCTGAGAGAAAATTTGGTTTAGGATCTCTCTCCTGTAAGTTTTGTTTGCTCAATTCATCATTGAACTTTCAAAACACTCTTACAAGATCAAAATGAAAAACAAGTTTGGTATTTGTTTATGATTCAGATCCTCTAAAATGAATGTTATCATTTTTTGAGAGAAATAAAAAATGACATGTTTTGTTACAATAAAATATTAAATATATATGTATACAAGTATATTTAAGATTATTTCATAAATGTGGGAAAGAATACATAGGTATATTTTGTAGACAAAAATTATTTAAGTTTCACATTTGTAAAGGTTGTTGTACCAAACTGTTTTAAACATTAGCTATTTTAATTTGCAATCTGTTCAAGCCACTTGTTTGTATGCAATATGTCTACATGTCTATAGTGTTTATTTTTCTATATAGTGTTTTAAACTCAGACCTAACAATTATTCATGTCATATTCTAGTGATGTTTTCTATGTCATTTTATGCTTATGCATTTATTAATTGGATTTAATCTCTGAGAAAGTGTTCCTTCTATGATCCCCTTTTATTTACTTCAACTATTTATAAACTCATGGGTATTCATTTTATTTTATAAACTATAATCAAACACAATTGTTATTTATATTATTGCTAAAATTATTCCAGTTTTTTTGGGAATGTAGACTGGTCTACAATGTCTTAGACCATTGTCTTATCTCTGTGAGGCAGGAAAATCAAACACATTTTATTATGCAGATTTTGTTTTAAATTTTGTTTTAAATTTTATAACATTATTAAGTTTTAATTTTGTGGTGACAAAGAATATTTTATATTGAAAAATAATACTGGATTTGGATAAGAGGCAGTTTTTATCAATTTTAATTTCTTAAATTGATAAACCTATGGGACTTTTTCAGATATGGATAGATATATGAAACCAGCAATTAGCAGTGAGTTTCTATTAATATCTTGATTTCTAGTACAAGAAACCAGGTTTTTCCCCTTTAAATCCCAGTACTCTTGGCCTCTTTATGATGTCACCTCTTAACTTCACTAATTTGAACCTTAGTGTGCTTATGTCCTGGCAAATGATAGGTGGGGGAAATGTCTGCACCAAGATTGTAAGTCCTTTTGGCAACTTTTATGTTTTAAATAACTGAAATGCTTTAGTTAGTTTTACATTTATTCTATTTAGTATAAATAAATGTTTGTTTTATTATTATTATGTCATGGATAAAGAAGAGATTACATGTTTAGCAAAGATATACATTATCAAGCAATATCATAAGTTGTTTTGATACAAAACTTAAGTAACTTCATTCAATTTAGTAAAATAAATACATGATTTAGGATAAGTTTTTTCAATGTGATTCTTCATTTTTAATCATTTTGTATTTTGGCATTTATAATTCATGGGTCTCATTCAGGGAACTATCACCTCCTTATGGACCATTTGGAAATTTATGGGAACATTTTCTGAGTGTGAGTATGCGTGCGTGTCAATTGTGGGGTGTATGTGTGTGATGACTGAGGAATGTTGCTGACCTTTAGAGGGCATGGGTCAAGTTTACTAAACCTTTGGAGGTGGGACAGTCTGACACAAAGACCAACTAAATGCCAATTGTATCCCCCTTGAGAAATAATGAGTACATAAAAGTAATTTGCAATCAAAAACAAATAACCCAGATATGGGATATTTGATGATAGTAGTTTCCTTACATTAAATTTATTTTGTGATAAAATGAGGTAGGAAAGGAAACCATTTAATTATCTAAAGATTTTTACTGTGAAGGCATGGAACAAAGGCAAAGAAAGACATAAAACTGAAATATAAAGGAAATTGTACTTGGGTTTTCTTTGGTCAGTAATGTTAAAAAGAGAATATGAAATATAGACCTTGAAACCATAAAACAGCCTTCACATAGGCACTGATGCCTATTTCATTCAATACAATTATTACTTTAAGAGACAAATCTTTGGTAAAGTTTTTGAATGTCTTTGTCATGATTACTTTAAACACTGAGTGACTTGCTGATTTTATACACACACATATAGTAATGTGTGTTCTGGCTATAACATGACAGAATTACATTATATCCTAATTATAATGCATAAGCACAATGATTTACTGATGGCCTTATTATTACCATGAGCATTGCAGGCTTTCTAAGAACTTCACCATGATGGTTAAACTCTTATTTTTGGTTTTATAATTTTTGTTTTTGCTGTTTTCTAGTGTAATCCCCAAACTCTCTTGCTATTTTAAGATTTATTTATTTATTTATACAAGAACGGGGTTACAGGCTAGTTGTGCGGGAGGGTGAGAGGATTCACCAGAGACAGAGTGGGGAACAGAACAGGCAGACTGACGAAATACACTGATAAAAGGAGCAGAAGGCGAGACAGGAGAGGTCTGCTGTGCCATGTGGGATTCTCCCCGACTGGGCCAGGAATCAAATGGCACTGCAGAGGCTGCGGACAGCTTCACAGCACTGTGCTCAACTGCCTGCACCACCAGCGGAGGCCCTCTCTTGCTATTTTATAAAGAAAACGTGGTTGAATTCACAATCAATAGCCTCATTGTTAGCCAATGAAGCATATATAAAATCCTTGAAAACAAATTCTTACATTTCTTTGGGCTCAAGTAGCAATTCCCTATTCACATAACAAAGAATTTGGCATGCTGAAAGCCATTTTTCTACTTTGTCTTTCCTCTGAATTCTTCTAACAATGATAGCGGCTTAATTTTATACTTACAATCTGTGCCTTGTGCCATGGCTACTGACTTTAGGTAAAAAAGAAAGCTGTTCTCTTTGTGCTGTTTTCCCCCTCCCAACTTACTTCTCTTTAATAACTTTATTCATCCAAACCTCAACAATCCTACTCAAGAGCTTCATCTTTTCCTACCTTTTCCTCCAACTCAGATTGTATCAGTCAACCCAGTCCTTGCATTTTGAATAGGTCTAAGATTTCTGAAGTAAGTCAGAGAGGTTTTCATAAAAATATTTTATAGATGGGCTATTTAAAAATCTGAACTTTAAAAAATTCCAATGTTAGCTTCCAGATCGTATATACAGTCTATTTTTTTAATCTCTCTCTCTCCTTTGAGTTGGTTTAATAAGATTTTCTCTTATTCTATTGGCCTTGCTAGGAATTCACCTTTATATAGATCAGGGTTTATCAGTTTTGGCACTATTGATATTTTCAACAGAATAAATCTTTCTTGGAGTTGAGGACTATAGAGTGTCTTTTTTGGGGGGGGCGGGAGGGGGAGGTTGGGGCCCTGTGCTGCACTGTAAGGTCTTTAGCAGCATCCCTAGTCTCTACTCACTAGATGCCAATATCAATATTGTATGCACACAAACATATGCACATGCAAAAATATTCTATTTTTCTGAGGATTTTTAATTTTAATTAGAAACTTTTATTTGAAAATCTTTTCTGTGTATCCTGAAATGATCAGGTAAATTTATTTATTTTGTTATTTGGAGTGATTGCATTGGTTAACTTATATATGTTCAACCAATTTTACATTCCAGAGAATAAATGTATTAGCCATGTTATACATTGTTCAGTAAAAGTAGCTAATAAATGCTTAAGAAATATTTGTGTGTTAATGGAGAATATCGACGTATAATATTTTTTTGTAATGTCTGATAATAAAATATCACAGTTTGATGTCAGGGTTATTTACATTAGTTTCAAAAATGAATTGAAATATTTCTCCTAATTTCTGAAAAACCTGTGTGGTATTTGCATTTATTATTAAATTTTATTTAATTTATCAATAAAATTGTACATTTGCTATTTATAGGAAGATTTTTAATAGTGAATTCAATTTATTTAATAATTACAGGAATATTCAAATTATTTTATCATGTGTCACTTTTTGTAAATGAGTTTTATAGAGTTCATCTAATTTACTTATTTTCCTGAATCCATTACCATAAAGTACTAAATGATATTACTCATTATCCTTTAAGGTTGATATGCATCAATCCTAATAGTAGTAATTTATGTCTTCCCTCTTTTTTTCTTCACCAGTTACTCTAGGGGGTAGTCAATTTTAGGAATTAAATAACAAATTTTGACTTTATAAATTTGCTGTAACATTTTTTCTATTTTATTGATTTTGGTGTATAGCTTTCTTTTCTTCTTCCTTTGTACTTAATTTGATATTTTCCTAATTTTAAAGCAGAGAGTCAAAATATTTTAAATTATTTTCTAATACAAGGCATTAAAGTTATAAAATTTCTCCCAAAACTCTTTGCAGCTTTCGATATTTTTGAGATGTTATTTTTCAGTTGTTTTTGTGTAAATGAGCATTGTGATTTCTGTTTAACCATTTATTATTTAGAAGGAGCTTTTTATTTTTCAAATATTTGTGTGTTGTCCAAATAGTTTTGTTAGTGATTCAATCGCTTGGTGATTAAAGGCTATGCCCTACAGATTATACAAGGAATTAATGGAACATGACTATGTAGCATTTTCAAATCTCAAATTTAATAACATTGTTTTATGAACCTGAAACATTTATTCTTTCAGAACATATAAAACATAGACTTTCACAGAATTTGAATAACACACAAATCAAAATTGTGTGTATTTTAAGCATAACCTCAGTTAAGAAAACACTAGACCAGAGAACTTATTGGTCAACACATCCTGTTTTATTCAAGTAATATATTCAAATGTTAATGGAATGACAAAAATGTTCCAGGTTTTAAAAACATTAATTAATGAATCAAAATATTTATAAATATACACTTTGTTCTTAATATGTATTTTAAAATAAGTACTGTGTGTGTGTGTAAAACTCAGGATCAACAATTCTATAATATAATCTACAGTACAACAAAGACAAAATATTTCTCTAACAGTGCTTAATATTTGCTTCCATTACAAATAAATAAATGTTAGATTATAAAGCTCCCTTTTGTGGAACAAACATGTTCATGTAATACTAAAACAAATGGAAACTTATAAATAGAAAGTACTTTACAATATAATTGTATTTCTCAATTTTTCATAGAGAACAAAAAATGCAGATCAATATTTATGATGCACATATACTCATTCATAGAGTACACGTATGCTATTGACTTGGATTTGAGTAAGTGGTATTTTAAAGATCTAATTTTACTTAAGCATAGTTAAAGTTCAATTGCAAGAGAATTTGAAGAGTTAAGTGCAGAAAATAATTCAAAAATTAAACAAGTCTGTATTTCAGATAAGGCAGGTTGGTGAGGTTTTTGTAAATGATTTTATGCAAGTTGTAATAATTCTACTGAAGTTTATGCTAAAACTGCACATTTGCTTATCTCTATTTTTCAGAGATAATCTTACATAATAATAGAACTCTGAGTACAAAATATTTCTTTTGGTGGTGCTGACAAATATGTATAATTATATTATGTATAATTATATAAAATATGTATAATACATATTTTAATAAAGTGATTTTGTGTAATTAATTAAAACTTTCCCTTTTATTTTAATAGCCAAAAAATAAACTTTGGAACATATGATGATTACATTCCAGGTAAGAAATAATTAAAAAACATGGTACATGTATGAACTGGTGGTGAGAATTTTACAGGGAGTACAAAATGACGTAAAAGAAATTAAAAAAAATTGAAAAAAGAAGAGAGAAAAATGATTTAAAAACTTGTATGATTAATTTTAAAGATAAGTGATTATTATCCTCCATTCAAAATGATAAACCAAGATCTGTCATGAAATATCATTAAAAATCAACAATTTATTATTTGCCATGGCAACTTTCTTATGAGTTTACCAAACATCTAAGGTATTTTGTTTTAAATCCAATGTAGGTTAAGCAAATATTTTCTGCATTATATTGTTAGAAGTATTATAAAGGTGGACATATTGTTAGATAATCTTACAGTTGAAAAACAGTATAGAAATAAAGAAATTCTCACCAATGTCAGGAATTCTACTACATTCTTGATAGATTATATCCAGTTTATAATTGACACAAAAAAATCTTACTTGACAAGATCAGTCAATCTGACGTTAAAGGACTTTATAAATCAAATGATTTCCTTATATATTGAGTTAAAATATGGCTTTCATTCTGTATATTTTTCATAGATCCAGATAGTCTTTTAGGAAACTTACAAATATATTTCCTCTTACACACAGTATTACTACACCAATTTAACTACAATAAAGACATATCTCACTGGTCTTATTGGTAACCTAAATAATCTTTAACACTTTTCAATTTGCAGGTAATTTTTCTCTCCCAGTCATAATTCTATAAGTACCCTTTATTTGACAGTCTTCACTAATATGCCACACCTCTAACAATGTAGTTCTTGGCTGTGTAACATTTATTCTTGTAGTTTGGGAAATTATTACTAGCCAAGGGAAAATTAACCATTAGCATTTAGATTCAATCATATATTTACTAAATATTTTATAACAAGTCGTGCACTAATTACTTTAAGGGTTTAAGTTGTAGTTACCATATCTTCTGTTCTCAATAGAACTATATTATAACCAAAAAAATCCCAATCAAAGTTCTAGACTAGAAGAGATAGGAAGATTAAAAGGAATGAGTAATAAACTATACTAGGTAAGATGTGGAAACAACCCAAATGCCCCAAAATAGATGAATGGATCAAGAAAATGTGCTATATATACACAACAGAATACTATTCAGCAATCAAAAAAGATAAACTCATGCCATTCACAGCAACATAGATGGAGCTAGAAGGGAATATGCTCAGTGAAATGTCAGATGGAAAAAGAACAATATCAGATGGTTTCACTTATAGGAGGATATAGGGTTGCCAAAGAAAGGATCAGGGGGAAAAATAAAACAAAAACAAATTGGCAGACAATTACAAATCAGAGTGGGGGGGTGGGAGAAAGAGGGATCAAAACAGGGGATGGAAGAGCACAAGGGACTATGGTGATGGTGCACAGGTGAATTGGTGGTGGAAATTCTATGGAGACTACACCTGAGAGGAGAAAGCAAACATTGTACAAAACTGAAAATTATGGGGCCTCTCTAGTGGTGCAGGTGGTGAGCGCCTCACCGTGAAACTGTCCGCAGCCTCTATAGCATGGGTTCAATCCCGGCTGGCGGGGACGAAACCCACATGGCGCAGCAGACCTCTCCTGTCTCGCCTGCTGCTCCCCTCAGCAGTGTATTTCGTCAGTCTGTCTGTTCTGTTCCCCACTCTGTCTCTGGTGAATCCTATCACCCTCCAGTGCATCTGGTCTATACTCCAGTTCTTGTATAAATAAATAAGAAAAATCTTAACAAAAACTGAAAATTATGTAAAATATATATAAATAATTTATATTAAAAATAAAAAAGCAGTAGAACTGCTTCTCTTGCCATCTCAATTATAGACTATACTAGTCCTACAATGACAACTTAGCTGTAAAACTGGCATAAGTCAAAAAATCAATTTTTATTTTCTCATACTAATAGCAGAGAATTTCAAACATTACCAAATAAATGAGACTGCAATTTGAAATATGTGCCTATTTAGTTACATGAAATATATTACCTTGTTGGTATTTTAGTTCTGATTTAATTCTATTTACTCCAAAGTATATCCTTAATGTTTTTTGTTTTTTGTTTTTTTTTTATTTTAGTCAGCGAATTAAGCAAAAAATCATGGAACCAACAACACTTTGCCCTGGTATTTCCCAAACCACCACGGCCAGGAAAAAAAAGGAGATCAAAACCTTCCCAACTACAAGCCAATGCAGAAGCTTCTGTGAGTGTTTAAGAGACCATCTAAGTTCACTACAAGTAGCTTGTGATGGCACATATAATATTGTTACAGGTCACCACAGTGGGGTTATTTAATGAAATATTTTATGATTTTGCACTCCAATGTGACTTTTTAACACTTAAATTTTGACTGCTGTAACTGAGGAATTACATTTTATATTCACACGTTGCTTTTAAACAAAACATTGGAAAACATAGCAAAAGGTAATTAGCATTGTACTACTAAAGAAAGGAGCCATATTCTATTTGCATTTTACTGTATAAAACTTATCTCCCTATTTCATATTAATGATTTTCTCAGTAATCCAACATTATAGAAAATATGTATCCCAGAAACACAGAAATCGCAAAACCCCATTGATACAATTAGTATTAACATTCAGAAAATGCTCCTTAGCTGGAAAACTCTTCATTAGTATCATGGATTATATTACAAGCTGATTAACTTTCAGTGCTTCCTCATTTCATGTACACAGAATTCAGGATTCTGAATAACTGAAGATAAATATCTCCCAATGTGTCTACTGTCATCATGGAATTTGAACATGTTCAAATAATAGTTTTCATAAGATCACTTGTATCATCAGTTGTTTATTTTCAGTGATGTATCTAATCAGGGGCTCTCCAAGTTTCTTGGGTCTGCTCATGTTCTTCTCATTTTTCCACTTTCTGTTAATATTCCTTATTTTTTTTTATTGTTGCAATTAAAGATTTGAAAGCATTTGGTCAGAAGTTTAAAACAAAATGTACCATTCTGCACAAATTAACACACACTGAATATTACAGCTTTTATTATTGCAGTTTCCTACTTAACTGATATGCAACTTATATCTTGCTGAGTGGGACAAGTTTCAGGGATTTACTTTTAACCACAGATAACACTCCAAATTCCAGAGACCTCATCTAAAGACGAGAATATACCTGAATATGAAACTATTTGATACTAGAGAACGGTTTCTGAGTTAAACTAGGAATGCAGATATTTCAATAATTTTCATAAACAAAACAAAAAATAATCCTCTACTAATTGTGAAGAGATGCTCTCATATATCCTTAATCAGTAGAATTCTTTACCAATTCTAACATAAAATCCGAGGGAATTAAGAAAGTCTTTTAAATTAGGTGCCAAATGTGGCACAGCTAACAAAAAATGAAAAAGAAAAAAAAAAAAGAAAAAGACAAAGACAAAATAAAAACTTAAACAGCAGCATAAATTATGAAATCTATACTATTTATTAAAATGTAATATCTTTTCTCAGTTGAATTTAAAAAATTTATGGTATCTGTCCAAAAAAAAAAAAAGAAAAAGAAAAAACTGTGACACACATAAATAGCTCATCATTATTCTGTTATTTCAGATATATCATGAAGACAGTTTAAAGGAAGGTTCTAGACGACCATTATGGATGCACCGTTCTTTGATGAAAATTTCTGAGAAACCCTCTGTTTATTTAGCTGCCAGGAGGCAGCCTCCAGGTAAACGAATTCATCGCTCCAAGGAGAGTGCCAGAGCAGCAGGTGGAGAGAAACCTTTACCTTCACCAATAAGTAAAAAAAAAGAAGACAAGAAAGTAGACACAGACAAATCAGACTCAGAAGCAGAATCCAAAGTTTCACAGGAGCCAAAAATAATTAGGAAAGATTCAAAGAAAGACAAGGTTATAGAAAAAGAACCTAAAGAAAAAGAAGGTGATGCAAAAACAGGTGCCATGAAAGCTCCAAAGAAGGGCGCAGAATCAACTACAGACACAGAAGGTGAAAAGGTGGCAGCAAAGAGAGAATCCAAAAAAGATCGGAAAGCTTCAAAGGCGGGCGTGGAATCAACGACAGACTCAGAAGGTGAAAAGGTGGTTGCAAAGAGAGAATCCAAAAAAGATCGGAAAGCTTCAAAGGCAGATGCGGACTCAGCTATAGCCTTGGAAGGCGAAAAGGTGGCTGCAAAGAAAGAGGCCAATAAAGATCGGAAAGCTTCAAAGGCGGGTGTGGAATCAACGACAGGGTCAGAAGGTGAAAAGGTGGCTGCAAAGAAAGACTCCAAAAAAGATCGGAAAGCTTCAAAGGCGGGTGCGGAATCAGCTATAGCCTTAGAAGGCGAAAAGGTGGCAGCAATGAGAGAATCCAAAAAAGATCGGAAAGCTTCAAAGGTGGGTACGGAATCAACTTCAGGGTCGGAAGGTGAAAAGGTGGCTGCAAAGAAAGACTCCAAAAAAGATCGGAAAGCTTCAAAGGCGGGTGCGGAATCAGCTATAGCCTTAGAAGGCGAAAAGGTGGCCGCAATGAGAGAATCCAAAAAAGATCGGAAAGCTTCAAAGGCGGGTGCGGAATCAGCTATAGCCTTAGAAGGCGACAAGGTGGCTGCAAAGAGAGAATCCAAAAGAGATCGGAAAGCTTCAAAGGCGGGCGCGGGATCAACTTCAGGGTCAGAAAGTGAAAAGGTGGCAGCAAAGAGAGAATCCAAAAAAGATCGGAAAGCTTCAAAGGCGGGTACGGAATCAGCTATAGCTTTAGAAGGCGACAAGGTGGCTCCAAAGAGAGAATCCAAAAGAGATCGGAAAGCTTCAAAGGCGGGCGCGGGATCAACTTCAGGGTCAGAAAGTGAAAAGGTGGCAGCAAAGAGAGAATCCAAAAAAGATCGGAAAGCTTCAAAGGCGGGTGCGGAATCAGCTATAGCCTTAGAAGGCGACAAGGTGGCTGCAAAGAGAGAATCCAAAAGAGATCGGAAAGCTTCAAAGGCGGGCGCGGTATCAACTTCAGGGTCAGAAAGTGAAAAGGTGGCAGCAAAGAGAGAATCCAAAAAAGAACGGAAAGCTTCAAAGGCGGGCGCAGGATCAACTTCAGGGTCAGAACGTGAAAAGGTGGCAGCAAAGAGAGAATCCAAAAAAGAACGGAAAGCTTCAAAAGCAGGCGCGGGGTCAGCCATAGCCTTAGAAGGTGAAAAAACAGCTGCAAAGAAAGACTCCAAAAAAGATCGGAAAGCTTCAAAGGCGGGTGCAGAAAAAGCATCGGATGATGAAAAGAAAGATGCCAAAAAGGGTAGGAAACTGAGTGCAAGAAGTGATGACTCAAAGGGCAAGAAAGAGACCAAGAAGAGCAAGTAGACCTTGGCTAGTAACTCCAGTGCTTATTTGATGAAACAATCATAGTAAGCTGAAACTGCACGGGAAAATGGTGGGTGGGGGGGTGTTCAAGGAGATAATCACATTAAATTTTTTAAGGGGCAAAGCATACAGTCTCAGGAAAGCATAAAATATATGAAAGATATTAAGATTCATGAAGGACTTGGAGAAAACATGTTAAATTTGGAGATATGAAGGATTCAAAGAGGAGATAGAGCCCTAGAAAGACTCAAAGCAGAACATTCAAATAAGAGGATAGAAATAATGGGGTTGAATTTGTACATACAAAAACAAAAAAGTCTGATGAAGTTTTCAAAAAAAATCTAAGAAGACAGATATTGAATCTATACAAGCAATGTACACCCACCCAGTAAGTAAAGAACCATAGTAGTCAGAAGAGGAAGTCAAAACAAATTTCAGAAAGTATACTTTCAAGTAAGTACAAATTAAAGGTAGCATTCTGCAAAGAAAATAGAAGAAAGAAAATACGATTATTTCCTTGTGATCCTATACCACCATCTCTGGAGTATAAATGGCCACTGCCAGATTGGTGGATGTTGAATGTTCCACTTCTAAGCAAAGATAAATATACTTGGTAAGTTAGTTTTCTTTGATTTTAAATTAGATGAAATTAAACAATAACAGAATCAACTTAAAGATTTGAACTGATACCTTTCCACAAAGTGTCTTGAACTTGCTGATAATGTTTTTAGTAGAATTTTATCAAATTCATACTTTCTTTTTGTAAGAAATATTCGAAGAATTTAGAAAGAATGCCACTTGAATGAGTTTCAAAGTATCAACGTAAAGGTTTAAAAAGGTAGAATTATTATTATTATTATTATTTTTGGTGAGGGAAGACTGGCTTGTAGAATAACTTATCAACAGATACTTTTTTAAAGATTTATTTATTTATATACAAGAACTGGGGTATAGGCCAGATGCGCAGGAGGGTGAGAGGATTCACCGGAGACAGCGAGGAACAGAACAGGCAGACTGATGAAATACACTGCTGAGGGGAGCAGCGGACAAGACAGGAGAGATCTGCCATGCCATGTGGGTCCCTCACCAGCTGGCCAGCTGGGATCTACCCTGGGCTGCAGAGGCTGCAGACAGCTTCACATTGCTGCGCTCAACCACCTGTGCCACCAGGGGAGGCCCCAACAGATTTTTTTTTTTAAACAGAAGAGTGACCAAATTTTCTCCATTTAAGGAAGGATGAAAATAAAAATTGACCAAATTATTAACATGAGTAAATTTAAAAGAAGGCATTTAAATAAAATCCTAATTGTCGGTCCCTCCGGCAGGCCGATGGGGTTCAGGAACACGGCACACGGCGGAGGGGGTGGGGATGAAAAGACACCTGCACTCACTTGGCTGGAAGCAGGAACTCTCTTTATTACCGAGGGGAGGGGCTATGTATAGGAAAAGCTTGCGCATGAGTACTGGCACCTAATAAATGGTGAAATATGTACACAAAGCCAAATAAACCAGAATTTTATTTAGAATGAAAATAAGTATTAGATGTGAAAAAATAACTACATAGCCTTAAACTATATTAACTTAACTTGTGACCAATAAATCTCATTGATATGAAGGGGGAAAGGCATTCTAAAATAAAATGTAAAACCCTTGGGCTTCCCAATTTTTCAAAGTCATTTATTCAGTATCATTGATAAAACTATTACATTTAGCATTGAACAGCATGGGGGGAAAAAGAAATCTACATCAAAATCCTTGTAATGCTTTACAGTTTCCACAGAACAGAACCTAAAATAATTTGTTATATAATTACTTACACACATTGTAACCCTGAAAAAAGACTGTCTCCTAAGATTACACCATGAGAGATCTGTGCCACCATAGATATGGTGGAATAAAAATTAAAAGGGGGGATTGTAACAGGGTGGTCCCCAGGAAAGGGGGAGGTTCCCTGCCCCTCCCAAGGGAGGGTGGAGCTGAGCAGGAAGAGGAGAAGCTGCAGAAGAGACTGAGGAAAGAAGCAGGATGGAGCCAAGAGACCTGGAGGAGGCGCATGGAGCCTAGAGACATGTGAAGAAACTGCGCTTGTCTTTTGGTCGTGGACTGGGTGACACAGATGTGGGTGAGACCCGTGGGGAGGTGACAATGGCAGCTTTTATCTTGATGTTGATTTTGCTCTTTTCCTTCTGGGCTTGTCTGATTGTTTCTGACCCTTTTCTGTGGGTCCCCACTGGAAGATGCTTTAGACTTGTGGCAGGCTTTGGGGCCTTGCTCTGGGCCGATCCCATTTGGATGGACTTTTACCCACGAGGGGACGGGTAACTTTGGGTGCTTCACTTAGAAACTAGACTCTTTGCCTTTCCTGTATTGTTTCCTAGTTTTATTAAAGTTCCTTCCCATTAAAAAAAAAAAAAAAAAAAGTAAAAAAAAAAAAAAAAAAAAAAAAAAAAAAAAAAAAAAAACAAATATAGTCCTCAAATTTTTTGTCCATTCACATGAGCATTGTCTAAAATGTGTCTTCTATGTGACAATGAGGTCCTGTCACTACTACCCTTCTTGGATTCTTAAATCTGTTTTAAACTGTAGCTTCACTTCTCTGGCTTGCCTCTCCTGCTAAACTTTGATTCCTGGCAGTTAATTAAAATTTTCTGCCACTGCCATAGTGCTGATGCTTCTGGAACCACTAGAGCCATCTTAGTTTCATGGTTTGGCAAAAAATTGTCCTCCAGCACAATAAGGGTCAGAATTACTTCCAAAGTGTCTTCTGTACATGGTTCCAAAATTTGAAGATTGATTTTTTTTCAATTGCTAAAATCATTGTAGCTCCTGAAATTGCATTGCTCATTATCTAATCCATTATAGTTATCTCTATTGCCATAGTATCCAGCACCACCAAGACAGCCATCAAAGCCACCTCCACCACAAAAGTTTCTTCTATAATCAAAGCTGTTATTCCCACCAAAATCACCTCCACAACCACCACCAACGTTTCCAGAACCACAACAGCCTCTTTGGATGTAGCACTGGCCATCTCTTGCTTAGACAGGGCTTTCCTTACTTCACAATTGAGTCCATTCATAGTATAGTATTTCTGAATGGCAATCTTGTCTGTGGAATCATGGTCATCAAAGGCTACAAAAGCAAAGCCTCTCTTCTTGCCTCCACCTCTATCAGCCATGATTTCAATCATTTCAATTTGCCCATACTGTTCAAAATAATCTCTTAGGTGATGTTCTCAGTGTCTTCTTTAATGCCACCAACAAAAATATTTTTCACAGTTAAGTGGCACCAGGTCTTTGAGACAATCTTCTATTGACACAGCCCTTTTTGGTTTACAAAGAATTTTTTTTTTAATTTTCTGCCACATAAAAGCAGATGAGTGTTTTGTCCTCTCCAAAATCTGGAGGAAAAATTGAAGGTGTAATTTCTGAGTCTTTATATGTAGCTTTTGATTTATGATCTAAGGGACTTATTTCTTCCATTAAAGACTACTAGGATCACCTAAAAATGACTTTACTCATCAATTAGTCCCCTTCCCATGGCAGAGCATCTTGGTGTTTTTCCAAAGCTGTATTCTATGACCCCAAACAGATTGAGTTCTGTTAAAAATACATATGAAATGATTATAAAAATAATAATAATTATAACTCATAGAAAATATAGGCTTTTGGTTATTATAATAAGGTAGCATTAAACCCTCCAATCTATGAATATTATTCATTTCTCTAAGAAGTAATCAGTTTTCAAACTTTTAATTATTTGCTAACTTCTGTAAGTATGATATACAAGCAGAAACATAGTAAGCAGCGTAGATGACTGGTTGCCTAAATACAGGGTGCTTCTCTAACATTATTTCTCTCATATGCTTAGTATCAAGGCCAAAATGGGAAGTGAAACAGGATGAGAGATCAAGTCAAAGGTAGACATCCATTTACGAACAATCTCCTATTCAGTAATCCTGCCATATGTTTCAATTCTTAGTTTAGACTTTTAATCACACAATTTGTATGTGGAAGATATTTTTCCTCTTTTACTGATTAACTTTCTCTAGAGTAAAACTTAGAGTTATAAAAATGAAATATAGATGCTATAGAAATGTTACTTTTGTATGCTTGTTGATTAGTGAATATATGATTAAATCAGAACAAAGACGTGCATGGATGGTTAAGGATTTTCAGATGTAACTAAAATCACAGAAGAAATATTAAACCAAAAAAAATCATGTATTTTATATGTGTATATCCTGAAGACAATATCTAAGATATCTTTCCTCCTTATGTGGAAAATTAAAGTAGTCCACTAGATCATTAGAGTTAATATAAAATTCCCAAAATGTGACTCATCATCTGCAATGGTAAAGATATTTACAAGGTAGTTTTGGTTTGAGGTTTTTTTCTCTTATGTAGTTATGTGCATGCATGTCTGTAAGTCTGTAACATTGTTAATCACAGAGCAAGTTAGAAAATGTTAAAATGAGTATCATGAGAGACTGGTTCAAGATGGTGGCAGAGGAGGAAATTGAACTCACCACCTTCCACAGATACAACAAATCTACCACTACATGTTGGAGTTTACAAAGAAAGACACCTGAACACTGGAAAAATAGAAACCTCTCAACAAAGAATTAAAGGATAGCACTGAGATGGGTAGGAAAGTGAGAAACTCTTGCTAAGGAAGTTTTCCACCATGAGAGTTTACTGTTGGGAGGAATTGTGAAGATGCAGAACTTTCCACTGGGGCATAGAGGAAGGTGTTGTCCTGCTTCAGTAACCCCAACATTTCTGATTTCTCACAGAAGAGATAGCCATGTAGAGTTCTGTCATTGAAGACTAGAGAGTAAAACACACAGGAGAATCCAAGAACTACAAGGAAGAGAACACAGAGGTTGCCTTTAAAATACATGTGCATGGATTCACTCATCCACGACCCCGGAATAGCAACAAAAGCCTGAAATGCACCTGAATTATAAGTGGAGGAAACACTTTCCTAGCATCTGCCCGGGAGGTGAGAAATATTTGGGACACTTCAATGTTGGAAACACTGGCATGCACTATCTCGGCAATTTGACGTGACCTTGTTAATTCCAGTACCCAGAGATGCTCTCTTCTAATCCTCCTTGCACTTCCAGCCTACTAGACTCTATGAGTGACTCCTGCTGAGATATATACCCACCTCTGTGTTGTAACTCTGACTCATATCCTGGACCTGCAACCACTATAGGTCACAGACACATCCTACAAACCATTAATAATGCAGCTGGGACAGACTAGCAACTCCACATACCTTCCATAAGCAGCAGGAAACTTCAGTTAGCCCATGGTACCACCCATCAGCACACCACAGTTGAACGCTTCAAATGTGCTTACCTGCTGTGTCATATCTGAGTCAGGTCAACAGCCCCACACAGTGTGTCATACAAATGTAGCTGAAGGATGGTACAGTCCACACAGTGGACATGCCTGGAACATCTAGCTTAGCTGGTCATGGAGGGATTGTGCTCTTGGATTCCATGGAACAGCACCTGCACAAGTGTTCCTATGAGACCTGGTGAGGTAGTAGAATTGAATAATACACAGAAGCAAGCACAGAGAGTCAGGTAAAATGAGACAGACAGACCTGTCCCAAAAGAAAGGACAACACAGAAAACCCAGGAAAAGACTGAAAAAATCCAAACATAAGTGAACTATACTTAACAAAGTATTCAAAATAATGATTATAAATATATTGACTGAACTCATGAGAATGGGTGAAGTAAAAAATGTAAGAAAGACCCAAATAGAAGTTACAGAACTGCAAAACACAATGATAGAACTGAAAAATACAACAGAGGGATCAAAAAGCAAGCTGAATGAAGCAGAGGAGCCAATGAGTGACCTGGAGGATAAAACAGTACAACATGCCCAGAAAGAGCAAAATGACAAAGAATTTTTTAAAAAGATATATTAAGGGACCTCTGTGACTACATCAAGAGGAATAATATTCATATTAGAGGGATCTCAGATGGAGAAGAAAGAAAGGGTCAGAAAAGTTAAAAAAAGAATAGTGGTAAAATGGTGAAAGTGGTCAAAAGGTACAAACTTCCTGTTACAAGATAAGCAACTTCTGTGAATGTAATACTCAACATGGTAAAGTTAACAATATTGTATATTTGAAAGTTACTAAGATCCTAAAAGTTCTCATCATAAAAACATAAGTAGGTGAGATGATAAATGTTGACTAAACTCGTGGTAATGATTTGTAATGTATGCATATATCAAGCCATTTTTTTGTACACCTTAAAATACAATGATTTATGTTAATTATAACCTATAAAACTGTGAGGAAATATTTGTCAACATATGTAACTGGATTTTAAAACTGAAAGAAAATATATCCATGCTAAAATATATACCCTTATGGAACAAAATCAACAAAAAAATTAAACCAGTATAATTTTTGTCAAATGTATCATGAAAGATAAAATAACTGATTGACTGAGTACTTTGAAAGAACTTGGTTCAATGTGAGGAAACAAACATCACATAACATCTGCATAAAATATACACCAATTTTTAAAATTATATGAACTTTTATGTTTTACCAAATTTATTTCTTTCAGGTTAGTTTTATTCCCAATCATAGCACTGTCATCACAATTCCAACACAGAAATAAGTATCATCGGTAACTGTTTTTCACTTTAAACAATCATTTTCCCACCTTTGTTTTCATAAATTGCCACTTGTCTATAAATTGGAATAGTTCAAATTTTGTTTGACTTTTAGCTTGCTACTCCCACTGAAAAATCTGCCAATTTCTTTTATCACAATCTACAAAAGACCATGAAATAGGCATTTGCATATTAATGTGACACTTTCATGCCAGTCATCATCTAATTTTAATTGCTAGTATTTAAGTTACTTCTGTCAAAGGGTCACACATTATTCTGTGTTCTCAGTGATATCCACATTACAAGATACCTATTAGGTCCTGAAGAAATGTTACTTTGTAATTAGAATTTATCTTATAAAATGAAATGTAAATACCTTATAACCTAGCAATCCCACTTTGGGGCATATATCCAAAGAATATAAAACAATGACACAAAAGCCCTATGTTCACCAATGTTCTTTGCAGCATTCTTTACTACAGTAGGACATGGAAGCAACTTAAATGTCTAAAGATGGATGATCTGGATCAAGACGAGGTAAAATATCTATACAAAGTATACCATACAGCCATAAGAAGGGATGAAATTAAGCCATTTCAAAAAAATGGAGGGAGTTCCAAATTCCAAGGCACTGGGGGATTAGGATTTCAATAAATGAAGTTTGGGGAACCCAATTCTGCTTATGAAAGGAGATATATGAATCTATACATATCTATAATGTAGTTTTAACAAGACTCCTAATGCAGTGGCAGGTTTGAATCTCAGCTTCAATACAGAATTTGTGCTTATTAATATGACAGAAATTTCTATTTTAGAGAGAAATTTAGCACTTACTTAACTTTGGTCTTATTATATTCTAGGACTACCATGAAGATTATTGAAAATTCTACCACTTTGGAAGAGTGAAATATCCCATTCAGCTGGTGATCTTCCTGTCATGGAAGTTGTTAGCCAGTTCTCATTTTGAATGAAAATTAAACACATGGTGAGAATATCAATTAAAAAAGTCAACTCTCCATACTATGTGTATACATCTTCCTGTGTGTTCTCACATTACTCATAGTCACCTGTATTTGTGGCTTCCCTTTTGCAAAACTGTTCAAATACTTTTAGTTATAAGCATCTATTTTTTTCAAATGTTCCAACTTAACTTTGCCTTTAGTTCTTCCTCCTCAAGGCTGGTATATGGAAAGATCTCTCCTTTGCCATATATTTCCTTTGTCAGGAATTTCAAGGTTTCCTCAAAGTTTGCAGCGATCTGTTTGATAGTATTCCCTAATTTCAACAGCAATTTTTTTCCATTTTATATATCCTCCTCTTGTAATTTAGGTTGGTTTTTGTATGGATTAAAAACTTACACTTACTTTATGCTATTATCCCATTCATAGGGATTATTTCTACATGGATGCTATAAAGAGACCCCACAAAATAGTATTTATGTCCTTGATTCCTAATTTTCCTACAATATAACATTTCTCTTTTACATAGTGAAATTTAGGAAATAAAGTTTATGAACATTCATCCTTTTTGAGTTAACTCAAAAATCATTATCACAGAACAAAATTTTTGTCTATAAAAGTAAGACATCAATCACTACCAGGTCACACTTTTTTTAGTTTCAAGTCTTCTTTCAGTTGAATGCAAATAATTTACAATCTGGTCCTAACTTGCTTCTCAGTCTTTGATTATTACAACTTTCTTCTTCAACAATATATATCACCATTCCATCTTTATTAAAATACAGATTTGATGTCCTTTGTTTTTATTACACTGTTAACTTGATATGGAATACTGTTTTCTTTCATTGTGTCTGTCAAACATTTGGATAGGTTCTACTACTGTTATCTGTCAAAGTTGGATAGGGTCTACCACTCAAGAGCTGTTGATAAAGTGGCTGATTTTAGGGTTGGGGCAGAGAAAATAAAAGATAGGAACATCTTATAGTCTTAGAAAGTACTGTAAAAACCAAAAGGATGGGGCTTGTCCAAGTGATATAAAAAACAACCTGGAGGCCCTCCCCTGGTGGCGCAGCAGTTGAGCGCTGGGTTGAGAAGCTGCCCGCAGCCTCTGCAGCGCCAGTTCGATCCCCGGCCACCAGTGAGGGTCCCACGTGGCCTGAAGATCTCTCCTGCCGCCCACTGCTCCCCTCAGCAGTATACTTCGTCAGTCTGCCTGCTCTGCTCCCTGTTCTGGCTCTGGTGAATTCTCTCACCCTCCCATGTTTCTGACTGTACCCAGTGATTGTATAAATAAATAAATAAAACTTAAATAAAAAAAAAAAAAAACCTGGAAGATTACCCAAAGGGATGCCACACCAAAATAATCTGGAGCAACAAAATAATATAGTTAGTATTGAATTACAAGGTGAGTATAAAATAATTTTCAATGAGCTCATATAAATATAATGATAAAAATAGGAGGAGAGAAAACTTTCATCTAAGAAAATTACAAATTCTATATGCAAATACCCCTTTCTCAAGATTGAGAAGTTTAAATCCTTACCCTTATGTATGGACAGGACTTATGATTTACATCAAATAATAGGTTATTAAAAGAGGAAAACAGTAACTTTCTAGTGGAGAAACCTGGTAAACACTACTCTTACCCAAAGATCAGGGTAAACGCTACCAATGAGGCCATGGGACATAACATAGCCCTTTACAGGATGAGTATTAAGAAATGTAAATGAAGATAAGGTACTTTACCTCTATGATATATTTCTCCAAAACCCATCGCCAATCCTAATTGTTAGAAAAATATCAGACAAACCTAAATTGAGACCTGTAGTCCTTAATACTTTTAAGGATATGAAGAAGAAGGAATGATTGAAAAATTGTTCCAGATCAGTAGAGACGAACAGAAGACATAACAACTAAATGCAATGTGGTATACTGAAATAGAACAAGAACACCAGTTAGAATTAAAAAGATAGGAATGCAGAGTGAAATTCAGCTAATAGTGTTATACCTATGTTGGTTTATTAGCTTTGACAAATGAGTCAAGCTAATGCAAAATTATTGTAATAAAAAATGAACTTGGTAAAAGTATATCAGAACAGTTTACAATTTTGCAATTTTATCTTGTTATTACAAAATTTAAAAAACATAGTGAATTATAAAAAATGAGTTCTATTTTTTTGTTAATAAAGGGTTAATCATAAAAGTTTAGATACTTTTACCAGACAATATTAAATGCCATTTAGCATTCATTGACTATGCAGTAAGATATAATGGCATAACAAATCAACTAATAGAAGAATATTTTCTCTGCACATAAGTCACTGTCATTTGAAAACATCTCTCTACAAATATGTCATAGTTCACTGATGAGATTTTTAAATAAAAATCACATTGATTAGGCAAATATTTAAAATAATTACATTTATAAAAACTATTTTAGAAGAAAATGATGCACATGAAGGAATTATCATTTTCTCACATTGTTTAGAACCCACTTTAATCTTATGTTATATAATCTGAACACTGGTTTTAAAATACCTTTGACATCTAAAAGGCAAATGCCTTTATTACCTCTTCCATCTGTAATCTTCCTATTCTGCAAGTATGTTCTTTAAGTATTATTATAAAATCACTTTAAGTTTTATGTAAATTTCACTGAATTTTGTAAAGTGGAGGTAAATATTAGGTTTAACTTAGAGAGATCTGATGGATTTAAAATATATATTAATAGTTCCTCAAATCCAAGTAGTTCAATTTCATGGCAAGTTTCTATAGCTTGTATTCTTAAAAGCATAGATCTTGCATAGTTTTTTTTTTCTGTAAGAATATTTTTTTTATATATTTTTCTTACAGCTGAAAATCAGATATTTTATTCTACATCATATTCCATGCTATCACTCTGTATAGAAGAAATCTATGATATTTGTATATTTTACCACAAGACATTTTATCTGATTATCATACGATTTTTGCTGTAGCTAATCCTATGATCTGTGGTGTAGAAAAAAGAACACTCTTTTAATACTTAGATGTGATGCAATTGTCCTGTACTGCCTCGTACTTACTAAATATATATAAGCGATGATGATGATGATGATGATGATGGCAAAGAGGAATAGTTTTATAATAATCTTCAATGCAGACAACTTTATGGTCCATAGATCCAAGGCAATACATGTGTACCATGTAGTCAATTTATGGCTCATTTTTATACAGTACAAAAATAATCTCAGTTCCTATAATTTTATCACTATACTTTTCAAATTTTCAGGTTGTCCTAGTTTTCTCTTTCCCTATTAAGATTCTGGAAGTGGAAGAACTAAATACAGGCGATACCACAGAGTGACTCCATTATAAAAAAATGCCCAAAGAAGGTGCTGACTCTTCCTTCTTTTCCATTCCAGTTTGACCTAATGCTACTAATGTTAATTTCACCCTGTCAAAGCAGAGTCAGCAATTGTGACTTGATACCTTCATTGGTTTTGGTTTTATTCTAAGTAAAGCAAAACAAGTCATGAGAATTATAGAAAGTGCTGAATTTTATACTGTCAACCTCTTGTCATTTTCACTGATATTTTATGAAGGATTTGGTAAAAATGTAAATGGAATATAAGTTAGATACTTCAAGGAAATATCTTATTCCAGATATTAATAAATTCTATGCATTAATCTATTCAAAGTTTTTCACTTGCTATGTTACTTGGCCAGACAGCACCAATCCTAATAATAACTTTCTAATTGCTCTCATTAAATACAGTACTACATTCCTTTCGGTTTCTACTGTCATGTCCTTCCCTTTAGCTGAATTTCAAAAGGTGAAATATCTGTAGCCCTTTCCTTCACCCTTTTATTTCCTCTCCCTCTGTCCTTTCTTCCTTCCTCTGTCTCTTTCCCTACTATACAAATGATCTCTCATTGTTTGAAATGCCATTACTACCCTCTCTTAAATCTCCATCTTGGGTTTGAAGCTCTCTCTTGAACTCCTGAAATGAGTATTCTACTGGTTCCTCAACTTCTTAAATTCCTGCCTTATTAGTACAGCAAACTAAAAATGTTTATGTGCCTTTCCCCTTTTTTGCAATACCTTTTATCAGAAATTACAACTATTTTCCTATTGTTTAATCCAACAAACTCAGTCATTATTTCTTCTTGAAACTTGTTTCTCAAATCTGCTTCCAAATATTTCTCATTTATTTACTTCTTTATAGACTTACCACCATCATCCTGGTCTATGGACCAGCAAACAATACACACAGACTAACAAAATAAACTTTATCTTCTTATTCATGCTCTCATACATGAATAGAAATGTGATGGTATAGCCATCAAATCAGATTTTAATCTTTGTGATTAACTTACCTAATAAATTTTCAAAATATGCATTTCAAGACCTCAAGTTCTTGCATCATATCTCTCTCTTCATGAATGGACTACAATGCAGCCATGATGTATTCCTTTTATTTATTTTATTTATATCCTCCATCAAGGTAAAATATTTTATCAAGGTGATCTCCCATAACATTTTATGCTTACATGGTTTTCTGTATCATTATCTTTATAACAGTTGTACCTCTCTATATCTCTACAGTTTATCTTTAGCATTTGACTTAATTTTCACATTAAACAGTCCCAGTTGTGTTCCATTTCTGAAAGACACTTTTATAATTATTATTTTCATATACAAAAATTTTTACATACAACTTCATGGTTTTCCATATTAAGTTTTTAACATAATTGTTTCTTTATGGATCACAGCAGTTTTTCTATCATCTAAGCCAAAATTAATAGCTGGGTTCTAACTATTATAAATAAAATGATTTCTTGTCAAAATACAAACTGTTCTGTTTAATGAAACCAGCTTACTATAACTGTATTAACTCTTCTGCCTGAGGGTAGCAGTAAGCATCATGTTATTTTTCATTATCATCACCTTTGTCTCTTCTCCCTTAACTTTCTGTTATATTTTTGGCTGCTTTCTTATCATTAGAATCATTTATTTTGTTATAAGATAGATTTAATTTATCTA